TTAAGTAGACAAACTTGTTGGCAGTGGCAATTTTCATTAACTCTGTCCACAAATCATTTGAATATACTGTACTGCTGTGGACACTGTATGAACAGTATCTGTCATTATTTATTTGCATTTGGTGTAAATGAGGTGCTATTTTTTGCTATTTATACTAGCTTAAAAAAGTGTCTATTTAAAAAGAACAAATAACTTAACATTTAAGTAGCTGCTGCTAATAGTTGTAGGAATCCATTTAAATAATGAATGAATTAGCTGCTGCTAATAGTTGTAGGAATCCATTTAAATAATGAATTGTCTTAATTGCAAACCTCCTAATTATTTCTCTATAAGAAACTATGACTAAATATACCAAATTGATTCAGTGAAGTTATACCTGATGTTTGTGTTTCACAGGTTTCTCTTCTTGGCACATAGCTGTGTTATTTTTCTGTTTTGCTGCTGGATTTGGAGCTGTGCTTCTGTTCTGCTGTCTGATCTACTACAGATCAAAAAACACTGGTATGTTTGAAAGAGAATAAATCTTATTTTTTGTGATTTAACTCTGTATATTTCACAGTAAGTGTTTTATTAATTTAACTGTGATTATTCTGCATCTTCTCTCCAGTCACCAGCAGCATAATCTGGAATCTTCAGGTTTCTCTGGTCTTTTGTCCAAACATCTGTATGTTCTTTGCCTTCATGCTTTGGGGCTTTACTGAAGGTGAGTGCAGTAGTTTAGTGTTCTTAGTTATATTTGTAAATTTTAAAATAATATTAATATAATCTTAATAATGTGGTAGATTTTGTTCCTCGTCTTGTAATGTTGTACAGATTTTTCTTATCCCTGATTCACATGTTGGTGTGTATTTTCTATAATGGTGGGACTCTTCAACACTTCCACATAACACAGTTTTTTTGTCATTTATTATCTGAAGTCCATAATTAAATATTCTGTTCTTTCTCATTTTTTGTCACACATTTGTTGTCATTTGTCATCTAAAGTCCATAATTAAATTTTCTGTTCCAGGATCTCTGCATGAGACTGTCCCCTGCTGTGCTCTTTATATTCTGAGGCCTGTTATGATGATTTGGGCTTTGCGCTATTTGAAGTATCTTCAAGGTATATTAGGATTTAAAGTTTATTTATTTTTTTAAGGAGATCAGTAAATGCATATGGTTGGCAACATATTAAGGCTTAGCATTACAATATTGTTAGTGATTAATTCTATTGCAGTTAAATACAATAAAGGGTCAAGTACTGAAGCAGAATGACTTTTTTTTTCAAACCACAAACTCAAGTTTATTTTCTGAATATGTTCTTGGCAACAATATTGTATGTGTCAAGAAAGTTGTAGTTTTTGGTGAAGAAAAATACACTTTGTCCAACCCACAACCTAACCCAAAATGCAGAGTACAAGCACAAGCAATGGAACAGATTTGTAATACATTCAGTAAAACCATAAGTCTTGTTTGAAAAATACGGTAATAAAAATATGCTTTTGTAAAGTGTGAGTATGTTGATAAGTATTTAAAATGAACATGGTTTTATTTTATTTTTGAATGCATGTCTAAAAAATCTAGTTCTAAAGTATCTGTGGGACTCATTTGGCATCTGCACAGTGATGCACAAACATGCTTCAGTATTTCACCTTGGGTGTAAGAATATGTGATATCTCTGACAACAGAGAACAGCATAATTTAGTCAAATCAGGGCAGGACTAACATATAATACAATGGCAGTGCATTAGTGCTTTTAAAAAATATATTAATTTGATGTATTCAACCCTTTCTTTCCACAGACAATCATAAATCATGGATCAGGTTTTTCAGAATAACACATGAACTTGCTGTTCTTACAGTCATTGTTTATTCAGGTGGGTAAATC